TGACAGCGGTGACAACCCCTCCTTCTCGAGAGGAGTCTTCAAAGAAAGAATATCCGAATCGTAAGCCAGGCAGGCCGTGTTCCAACTCAGCAATATCCCCGATATGTCCATGTGTTCCTTGTACGGTAATGATGTCATTGGAGTTGCAGAGCGATAGGTAACGGTGGTAACGGTCCCGAGCACGCCAGGAGTTCGTTTTCACAATGGTGAAGAGGGCGCCCGTGTTCCATGCACAGAGGGAAAGGGGGGGGGGGGGGAGGAAGAGGGAGCAGGCGAGAGAGGGGGGGGGTCTTTTCTTGCTCCTTCTATCTCACTTTTTCACACTCTCTGCCCCCTTTTGTCAACTCCGATGTCTACTCTTGTCCTCATACTTCTCGGCTTTCTTCGTGTCCCCCCGCCTTCTCCTGACATCTTGGGGTCTCCTCTCCTACCTGCTATTCGCTACTACTGCGCGCCTTTCCCCTCCGGTTCCCCGCCGTTGGGGAAAACGGTCTGCCTCCGTCTTAAAAAAGGCCAACGGAGCGCCACCGCCCCTGCAGCCTCGATGCGCTCGATGTGTTCGACGATTCCAAATTCAAGGAAAACGTCTCTGGCGCAGCGGATCTCGATATTCGACTCTCCAGAAACTATCACTTTGACTGCCTGTGCGGGCTCGTGGGCCCGCCGTAAGAAGAAAACTGAGCCGCCGAGTCCTGTGCTGCCTACCTCAGCTCCTTTCGGTGCAAGGAGGGCAGTGAGCGCAGCTCGGACCCCCCCCCCCCCGAGGGAGAGGAACAGCTGCCGCGAGATGGGGTTGAGATCACGACGGAGGCGGAGTGAAAGGGGCGGGGCGCCTTCTGCAGGGTCAGGCACACTCCATGTGCCCCCTGCTCTGATGAAATTGTCCAAGAAAGTGCTGGCCCCTAGCGCCGTCTCAAAGAGGAGTGTCACCTGCTTCGAAAGATCAAAGCCGCGGGCAAGAATCCTTGCCTGCTGTGCTTCTGGGGAGAATTGCCTGATGCACGCGTTGCCAATCTCACGAAGATCTTTGGCAAGGAGGGGCCTAGGAAAGCCAAGCAGGACCAATTTGCATGTATCCTGCTGCGGTTGGTCGGGCGGGCTCGGGCGCGAGCTGCCCCTGGCACTCGAGGCACTGGAGGACAGGGGGGGGAGGTCGGGGCCGGGGTGGAGAGCGACTCGCACAGTCGAGTCTCTGAGATGCGCTGACGATCGGCCAGGTCGGCCAGTTGTCGCTCTATGCTTTCGCACTTCTCACTAAGCGAGGGGCAGGTCATGGCGGCGTCACCTGTGTTCCCAGCTAAGAGCTCGGTGCGGAGGGCATTCAACTTCGCGTCCTGTACAGAGATGACGTTCTTCAACTCAGTGTCGAGCATCTGGTGCTTGGACTGTGCGTCGCGAGCGAGTAGCTTCATCTGATCAGCGAGCTCCCCGCATCGTTTGAAACTTCCCTGCGCGGCACCTCGAAGTTCGGCCAGCTCTGTTGCGTTCTGCGAGGCCACCTGGTTCATGCTAGCAATGCTGTAGGCGATCGAGTCGAGCTGGGAGGTGATCCGAGACCGATCTTCGCCGTCGGAGCGGCGGGCGTCGGGCGTCCTGCTGGCGCTCCTTCTTGGAGCAGATGAAGGCGATGAAGATCGTGCAGAGCCACGCCGCTCAGATCGCCGCTTCCCCATGGCAGCAGTCTGGGCGAGGTGAAGAGCACGGTGGACTGGGAGGGATCCCCGCAAAATGCGGATGGAAGGCACGGGCGCTGAAGCTCGCGTGCCGCGAGGCCTGTCCTCGCAAGAAGGTCGCCCTGAGCCGCCCCTTCGGCAGCGACCGAGCTCGAAGCGCCAGGGAAGCGCTTCGAACTTGAGCCAAAATGGCTACGGAGGAAGAGGAGGGTGATGATGATGATGATGAGGAGGAGGAGGAGGAGGAGGAGGAGGAGGGGAAAGAGCAGGAATTGAGGAGAGAAGTGTGAGTGGAAGAAGGAGGATGGGCAGAAGAGAAGGAGCGATGATGAGGAACACGAGCAGCAGTATACACAGAACGGGGTTCGGATGATCAGGAGGAGGATGACGATCGGAGCAGTGGTGATCATAATGATGAGGATGACGAGCAATATACGATGAGTGCGACCCCGATCATGATGATGATGAGGAGGGGGAGGAGGAGCGACGAGGTGAGGGCGGAAGGAAAAGAGGGCACGATGAGTGAGGGTAATCATCGACTCTTTGTTTCGCCTCTTCTGCTTCTCATTCTGATGGTTCATTCTATGGAGTCTGCTTTATGTTCATGCCCTTGGATCCCATGCCCTTGGATCCCATAGTCCCTCTCCTCCTCAACCTCCTCTTCTTCCTCTCTATTTGCATAGCCTACTCGGCTTTCGTTATCTTTGTACCTGTTGCTTCCCCCCTCCCGCGTGGGCGCCGCGGCACGGCGTGCCAACTTCATCGACAAAAAGCGTCGAACGGAAAACCGACAGATGCCGAGATCGCAAAAGGGCCGCCTCAATGAAGAGATGGATAGCGAAGCCTTGGGTGAAACAGCATTTGAAAGAGGCTGCGGCGAAGCATCTTGAGAAGCTCCACAGCACTTGCGCAACGCGTCGGCGTGAGAAGGCCGAGCTTCCCAAGACGACCAAGAACCAGAAGAAGGAATTCTTCCTTCTGCGTCGCGGCAAGTTCGTGGCCGAGGTTCTGCGTGGGTGAAAAACATCACGTCCAATGAACGAGGAAAAACATGCAGTGCAAATCTCAACAATCAGCAGAGCAGCGCGGCAATGAGAGCACATTCAAAAGCAATTGCACGACAGCGGCAACCCGACACTTCCACACAACAGACCGAAACGCAATACTATGCATCTGCATCCCCACCCAGCGCGCAACGGAGAACAACCGCAAGGCCTACGACAGGGCCAACAAGAAAAACGACAAGCTGGAAAACGTGGTGGAGGAAGCGGCGCGCCTAAGGCTTGGCTGCGCACCCGGTGAGGGGAGAACAAGGAGTTGGCTTTTCAGGAAGCATGGTTTTTAGATTATTTGGGGCGCTGCTCAGACAGCCTCTCAAAGAAAGAGAGAGCTTCTTAAGGCGCTTCCTGTTTTCCGCGAAGGTGGTGTCTCTCGCAAAAAGTTGCGGGCCTTTGGCCGATTACTTGGTCCAGGAAGACACCGACGTGAACTTCTTCGGCAAGCAGCAGCGCTACGCGCTACTATTCCCAGTGATGGCTGACGTGATGGCGAAGCTGTCCCGAGATTTCAGCATTCCATCGCCGGCGGCGCCCCCTAGCGAGAGATGGGCCACGGGAGGCCGGCCCAGGGGCGAATATTATGTCTTCTCTGACGACGAGCAAGAACTTCGCCCCATCTGCTGCTCCGCTGTGTGCTCGGTGGCGGGCGTCGCGGACATCGCCGCCTTGGCTGCCCACGTCGACTCGGAGGCCGACAGGCGGCAAATCCAAGTTCAAAGCTCTGTTCGTTTATTAAAGAAACGAGGGGCCGCGTCCGTGGAAGCCGCTGGAGACGGCCAGCAGCGCTCCCTGCGGAGCCTTCTTCGCAAATACGTAAAGCAGGGTTATGGGAGACTTTTCACAGAGGGCCCATCTCTTCAGAAGATTAGCAAGGAGGCTCGGCGCGCTGCTTTGGCTGGAATTCCATGAGGCGCTCTGAAACTCGATATCACGGTTGCATTCTTCAGTTTGCTGGTTGTGGCCTTGAAGCGGAACGAGAGGATATGCGTCGAGTCAGAGATTCCACTTCTGTGCGACGTCGTCAGCAACTGGGGCTTCGTCTCTGGGTATTTCGACGTCGGGGTGGACGTCGCCAAGAAGCTGCTCAACTCGGCGACCAGCCCAAACGGGCGGCAGTCGCCAGATCCAGAGGAGCGGCCTGGCTGGATTCCGCATTTGGATGGTCTGCAAACGGAAGCGGCCAATGCCGCTCGATTTCTTCTCGAACACGACGCGCTGTATCAGGATGTCGCGAGAGCGCGGCCTGAATGCAGCTCGCTTCGCATCTTCCTGGGCGAGCTGGAGTGTCGGGTTTTGATGAATATGAAGCAGGCATTAGAAGAAGCAGGGGCCGAGTCAGTTTCTCTTGTCTTCGATGGCATTTACTTCAGGCCAATGGGGCTCGACGTGCACGACAAGGGCTTCATCGGACTTGCGTCTGCAGTCGAACGCGGGCACGGCGTACCTTTGCGTTTGAAAGATCTCAGCGGCGCGGAGATACCCTGGAGGACGTCCGCCCCCGAGCAAGGAGAGGAGGTCCGAGGTGCAGGTGGTGCCCCCCCGTCGCCGCCGCACCATAACGACTTCTCCTCACTCCTGGCGGCAGCTTGCGAGATGTCTCAGCAGAAGCTCCAAGCGGTCCCCGGGGAAAGTATGTGCGCAGCGAGCGCTCTCGCAACTACGGATTCGGTTTCCGGGGAGCCGAGCCAGTCAAGGTTCGCCTGCGGCCCATACTCTTATCGACAGTTGTACAAGATTTATCGACCTCTGGTGTTCCATGAGCTACAGCTGAGCGGAATAATCTGCGCCGACTCCGCGCACTGCTTCCTGTTGCACATTGGAATGCCTGGAACTCGCGGACATGCAGTTGGTCTCCGCGCCCACGGGGATTTGCAGCAGATGCTTGTTTACGACTCTCACCAGGACGTTGTGATGCAGATTGGCGACGAGGCCTTGTTCGATTTGGTTACCCACTGGGACGAGGGCCGATGCCATGCCCGCCTGCTGCAAGTTACCGAATACGGGGCTGGCGACGGCAGTGTCGAGACAGACGTCTTGGATTTGATTGCTGGCTCTTCTCGGCCGCGCGCGAAGAAGCCCGCTGCCTTTCAGTCTTGCATGCCCAAGCGCGGGAAGGCACGCATGGTCAGGAAGGTTGCAAAAAAAACCAGCCGCAAATAAGAAAACACCGTACGTGCCCTACGTGCGACACGGCCAAAAGACTCACAAGTCTCGAGGTGACCGCCTCGCTATCCAATGCACCCTGAAGGCCGTGTATACGGCTTCCCCCATGCAGCTCGTGAAGAAGCTCACCGCCACTGGGCGCCTTCAAGATTGGCACGGCATGGTCTGCCCATGGTGCGCGGGCGGGCACGTGGGCCCATTGAGAAACGTTGCGCGCAGAGGCCCAACCGATCGTTGCAGCAGCAAAAAGTGCCAGAAGTTTGTGCTTCCTCACCACAACCACCCTGTGTTCTCGGTGGGGTGGGGGCAGTGTACTTCTTCGCTTGCTGATAAAGTGGCGACTTGCACCTGTGCGACTTGGGATGTTGCACAAACCAAATGCCACCAGATCACTGGGAACAACCACAAGCTCATAGAGTCCACGTACGCCCGCCTCGGCGGCGCCAGGGTGCGATACGTTCAGCAGATGGAGAAGACGATTAAGTCTGGCGCCGTCGACGAGTGGCCAGACGTGGAGGCGGAAGAGGCGGATTTGGGTAAAGAAAACGATGTGGCAGTTTCTGACAAGGACAAGCCAGTGAGGTGGGAGCAACGGGGAGGACTGGTCGAACGTGGGAGGCCAGAGACTTTGGTACTAACCCGTCCCGGCCCATGCAAGACTCAAAGGCGCGCGCCTGGAACTGGTCCAACTCGCAGGCGCGATTGGAAACCCATTGCTCAGCGGCACCCCGCCAGACGACATGTGGTACTGCACGCTGACGGGGCGCGCACTTACAAGATGAAGTTTCCAGGCGTTCTTCACGACAACGTCGTTCACATGAAGAGGGAAATTGTGCGACAGGGGGGAACTTTCTGGCTCAAGCCGAAATTCTCCGAGGTGGTGGATCACGAGTTGCCGAGCGGTGTTACGCTGCGCACCAAGTCTGGAACGCAGATTATTGATCGCTTCTGGGCTCATTTGCGGGAGCACCTCCAGTCTCGCACGCGCAGGGTCGGCACGCACGCCACCAGACGCCGCATTCGGTCGGCGCAGTGGACCTTCTGGAATAAAGGGCAGGAGTTATGGTCGCGTACTGGCGACATGCTGAAGGCGCTTTATTGAGCCCGAGAGCCCGCCTTAATTTTTTGGAATGCTGTGCATGAATGTGCGATTCATATCTAGCGGCAATGCGCTGCTCGATACAGAAACGCTGCAATACTGCTGATCGCCTGAAGGAAAACACAGGAAAGGTAGATCACAGGAGGGCGAGCATACATATATATATATATATGCATACAGACATATAAACGTGTGTATGAGGGTAGGCATGCATATATGTATGTATAAACATGCTTTACAGCCACGCGCGCGCGCTTCGCGCGCTTAGGTTCCATCATGATCCACTTGTAGTCTAAAGTGTTCGGCATCATAGTATACATAAATGTATATAGATGTACTAGAAGCATGCGCGCGCGCTTCGCGCGCTTAGGTTCTACCCTGGCGCGAGCATCGGATGCGCCGCGGAGCGAATGAGGTTGGGAGCGGTTGCAGGGAAAGCTGTGGATAACTGACTCACTGAGGACTGCCAGGCATATGATCCAGCCACTGGGCCTCGTAGACATCGGCCCTCTCGATGAGAAGGAGCAGTTGCAGCATGATCACGAACAGCTCGCGGCCAGAGCGTGAATGGAACGACTGAGAAATCACCCTCGAGCCTCGATCGTCGAGCGCCGATGAACCGTCGAACGCCGATGGACGACGGATGCGACGTGGGCGAGGACGACAGAGAGGTCAACGACGACAAACGACAACGACGACTACGACAATGACGATGACTACGACGCAACCCTGCCCTACGAGCAAGAGCCGGAGTAGCCGTGACCCCCCAAGCTAACCCAATCGCCTTAAACAAATATTCAAACAACAGATCTCGCAGGAGCCAGCACCGGGGTAGCCGTGACCCCTCAGGCTCGCGGCCAGAACGGGAATAGTACATCGGAGAGAGCCCACCTCGAACCTCCATCGTCGACCCGATGACCGACGGATGCAACGTGAGCGACGCCTGCGGGGTTGTCTTGGGATCCTCTGGGGGCCCTCTGGGACCGAGCCCGCGTGCACCGCCAATACGCGGCGCCGACTGTCGGCTTGAGGAGCAAAATGAAAGCAAACATTCTCAGCCCTCCTGCAATGGGCCTTCCTTCGTTTTGAATAAAGCGCTCTGGTCTCCAGTCCCCCCGCCTCCTTCCTCCTCTTCCCCCCCCTTCCTTTGATACTACGCAACCAGGATACTAGAATTTCAAGTATAGGCCTCACATATCCTTGTCCGGCGCGTGTGGAACAAAGGGAGGGGCCCCCTGCGAAACCTGGTGAGCTGCCAGATGGCACGAACGGACCCCACCCCAGCTCCGCAGCCGCGAATGGGTCTGTGGGGTTCCCTGAGCTACGCCACGACAATCACTACAATTGGATGTAGGGAATCAGCTCCTGTAGTCACTGATATACTTAATCGGCTGCCGCATTACTGCTGGTACCTCGGGCTGGCCCCGTATCCACAACCAGCAATATGGCAACCACGGGCCCCCTCGAGCTTCCAACGGGACCCCATCTAAGCTCTTATGGCGGCCCCACCTGTGACAACAGTGGTCTTCGATTAGTGCATCCACCAGGACCAGGATCCCACTACCATCAGCAGGGCTCCCACGAGGCTCTTGGGCATCCGACTCCCTGGGCTCTATCACAGGTTCCACGGCCATTGTTCCCACCCAAGGGGCTCCCATCAGACTCCCTGGGGCAAACCTCAAGACGGGGCCTTCAAAACCAGTTATACAAAGACCTACCTGCCACGGATGTGTCAGGGACTTGCAGAGTCTATTTGCGAATCATTCGCCGCGTGTCTGTTATGAACCAGGTGCTGAGGAAGAGACAGACTGTGACGACAGAGAACGACTCTCATCAGTTGACGAATTTTTGGCAAGACCGTATGCCTCTTCTGCACGCGACGTGGATCCGAATTTCTCAGAGGCGCCCGATGCTGCCCCAGCCAGAAATAATAGCAGAATCAAGCGTGCCGATCATGATATCGCCAGATTAGTGGACTCCTTCTCCGAGGACGGACGGTCCTCCTCTTGTGATCCTGCGTCTGCTCCGACCCCCGCCATGGAGGGCCCCCTTCTTTCGCCCCAGCCCCCCTGGAGGCCTCCGGCGAGAAAGAACACGTTGGACCCTGAAACGTCCTGGCGGTGGGGGTCGAGCCCAGGGGGGGAGTATACACACATATGTGTATATATATGTGTATATATATATGATATATATGCATATATATATACACATACATACATATACACAAGACTGCAGTGGCGTTTCGCGCCATGCACCTTGGTCCTTGAAATTTGGTATGCAGGCGGAATAGCAGAAGGTCAAGCCGACAAATTAGCGATAACTCCTTGTTGCCTTTTCGGGCATCGCCGCTATAGTAATGTTTTTCGTTATCCTTCCTCCATGCTTCTTTTTCCTTATCTTCGCCATACCCTGCGCATTCTCCCTATCCTCCTCAGCTCTTTTTTGCGGAGGCTCCTCCTTGGAGAGCCTCTGGGGGCCTCACAAAAGTTGTTTCAGGCTTTCTTAAGGCCTTCTTGAGGCCTCCTGGGCGTATTCTGCGGGCCTCTGGGGGCTTCCTCGGGCCACCCTGCCTCCAACTGCGGTTTCCCTGAACGACCAGGTCACGATTTGGAATGCTTCGCAGGGTGTCTTGGGGTCATCTTGGGCAGCCATGGGGCTCTTTGAGGGCCATCTTGGACCCCTGTTGTGCCGTTTGAGGGCTCTCTTGGACTGCCTGGAAGCCCTTTCGGATGGTTGTGGGGCGATTTGGGAGCCACCCAGGCGGCTTCGAACGCGCAGAAGTCCACCGTCTTGGAGCGTCGGGAAGCCGAAATGAGGAGAACCCCAACATTCACCAAAATCAAAAAAAAATCAACGGTTTTTGCCTCTTGGGGCGGCTCTTGGAGGCCTCTTTGGGGCCGTCCTGGAGGCCTCTTGGGCCATCTTGAGGTCACGTCGGTCACTCTTGGAGCGCTCTGGTGCTGTCTTGGGGGTCTCTGGGGCGTCTCCGATGACCCCCCTGATCGCCCTAGGTATGCTGGGAAGGCTTGGCAAAACGCCCTGCGAGGCCCGGGGGGGCGCGTCGAGGCCCGTCCGGAGGCCAAAGCCCCAGATCCTGGGAGTCCGTTTTTTTTCTGTTGGGGGGGAAGGGGTTTCCCCCACCCCCCGGAGTTGAAAAAAATTAGGAAGAGGAATACATATATGTATATATATATATATATATATATATATATATATTATATACATCTATATTTATATATATATATATATCGTTCCCGTCCGCCTCCTCCTGCTCCTCCTCCTCCTCCTCCTCCTCCTCGTCCCCCTCCTCCTCCTCCCACTCCAGCTTTCTCTCCTCCTGATCTTCCTCCTCCTGCAGCGTGTTCCGGAAGGCTCCCGCCGGAACGTGCTGTGCACGAGTGCTATCCCTGCTCCTGCCACCGTGCCCTGGGTGGTGGGTCGGAGGCCTCATGGGTGTTGGTTTGGATCTCGTGGTTGGCCTGTCGGGGACGTCGTGAAGGCAGTTTCGCAGCTTCTCGGTAGCCGTTATGGGACCGTTGTGGGGCCTCCTCGGGGCTGTTTTGAGGCCTCGTTTGGGCCTCCTGGGTGCCTCTCGGGGGCCTCCTGGGGCCTCTTGGGGGCTCCTTGGGGCCTCCTGGGGCACTCTTCAAGCGGGAGGGTCGAATTTTGGAGTCGTGTTCCTCCGCTTGGGCGCATCTTGGGGCCGTCTTGGGGCTCTCTTGGGCTGTCTTGGGCGCCTCTGGGGCCGTCTTGGGGCCCTCTTGGGCCGTCTTGGGGCGCTCTTGAGGGCCTATTGTCTTGGAACGTCGGACAGCCGAAAAGGCTGGAAGGCCAAAATCGTTCCAAAACCTTCGTAACATTGACGATTTCGGCCTTTTGAAGCACTCTGGAGAGGCGTCTTGAAGCGTCGTGGAGTGCCTTGGGGGGCCTCTCGGGCCGTCTTGGGCTTATCTTGGGCGTCCTGGAGCGGTCTTTCGGCGACTCGGGGCCCGCTTGGGCCGTCTTGGGAGCCTCTCCCAGCCATCCTGGACTATTTTGTCGACTACGACTTCGACTACTACTATTTCCACGACTACTACGAAAACGATGACTACTACTACTACTACTACTACTACTACTACTACTACTACTACTACTACTACTACTACTACTACTACTACTACTACTACTACTACTACTACTACTACTACTACTACTACTACTACTACTACTACTACTACTACTACTACTACTACTACTACTACTACTACTACTACTACTACTACTACTACTACTACTACTACTACTACTACTACTACTACTACTACTACTACTACGATACTACGACTACGACTACTACTACGACGACTACTACTACTACTACAACTACTACTACTACTACTACTACTACTACTACTACTACTACTACTACTACTCTATACTACGACGACGACTACGACTACGAACTACTACTACTCCTGCTACTGCTACTATGCT